TGAGGCTGAGTTGTGTTCCCTAAATGACATGCTGATCCTGTAAACTCCTGATTCCTGTCACTGTGACATCATATGGAAATAGGGTCTTTGTAAATGTAGCTAAGCTGAAATTAGGGATTTTAGAATGGATCCTAAATCAACATAACCAGTATCAGTATAAAAAGAGAAAACACTGAATATAAATACATTCAGAACAACATATACACAGATACAGAGAGAAGCAACCACGTAGATGGACACAGAAATTAGAGTTGTGCTATACAGACATAGAAGGCCTGGAGTTCCCAGAAGCTGGAGGAGGCAAGGAAGATCCCACCCCTAAAAGTGTCAGAGGGAGCAGGGTCCTGATAACACCTTATTTTTGACTTGTAGATGCAGAATAAAACTCTTAATAATTTTTGTTGTTTGAAAACAGTCTGTGGTAGTCATGTCAGCAACGTTGGTAAACTAAAAAAAGCTATGAATTTAAGGCCTATTCTTCCTCAGAGCTCCCTGGACTTTCCTTTCTTCTAGAAGCATCCACTGTGAATTTAAGTAGTTTGTGTGCTTAGACTGCACTATCTCACCCAGTGAGTGCCTCATTTTCTATATATGTTTCCATAGTTAGAAACATTCTCTAAAGGCTGAGAGATTAAAGGCTTAGTCTGCCAGCCTATGATCTTATTGGGATGTGGTAGAACCTTTAAGAGGTAGGCCTTAAGGGACAAAATTAGGACATCAGTGTTTCTTGCCTCTCTTTTCTTCATGGAGACTATAAGGTGAATGGGCCCTCTTTACCACGTTCCTGTTGTGACAGACTAAAGCAAGAGTCAAGAGAACATGAACTGAAACTTCTGTAATTATGAGTTAAAATATACCTTTCCTCCTTTTAATTCATTACCCCAATTATTTTATCATAGTAATAGAAAGGTAACACATGTGTTATTTTGCTTATTCAACAGGGATGTCTTTTCCATAAAATCATGTTATATTTCTATTCATTTCAATCACGAATTAAACAATCATGTTTGTGGAGAGCAGCATAGTGCTGCGCCCTTAAGATGGCTCCAGTCTCCCCCTCAGCCACTTGTTGGCGAGTCCTCTTAAGAGTAAACAAGTCCTTATTTGGCTGTGGCTGGTGATCTGGCTTGTCTCCATGTGTGTGGACCTATCTGCTGTTGCCATGTGGCTGACGGGGTTAGGCTAGTCCTAGAGTACTTAAGCCTGGGAGGCGCTTCCCCCAGGGTCAGAAGATTGTTCAAGGTTCCTGAGTAAACTGCTTGGAGAAGAGCTCATGTGTTGCATCTTCCTTGCTGGACAAGGGTGGGCGTGACAACTGGTGGTCCGTACGGGGATCTGAAGCTCAGAACTTTCAGCAGTCACGGTGGTGCACCAGTAAGTTCCCAGGTTACGTTGGGACAAGGGAAGGCCCTCAGTAAAAGAGGTGATAAATTTCCGGGTAGGAACGATAAAGTTCCCAGGTCAGTGGGACAAGACAAAGTTCCCAGGTCAGTGGGATGAGATAAAGTTCCCAGGTAAGTGGGATAAGGGAAAGTTCGCGAGGTGAGTTGCGACAATAAAGTCCGCGGAGCTCGGCCATTTTGCTCTTCTCTGCAGACAAAGAGAGAGCGGACAAGTTTACATTGTTGCAAACCGAAAGTGCAAGGCACTGTGTATTGAAAGTTTAGTTATGGGCGATTCTCAGTCGCACCCAATTTTTTTGGCTCTCCAGGAGCTAGCTGCTGTTATCTAAAAATTTGAAGCTTAAAAAAGCACCCTTCAAAGGTTTTTGGATGAGTGCGATATCATTGCTCTTTGGTTCGCAGTTTCCGGTAATTTAACTACCGCTTGTTGGGATAAATTGGGAAAAGATCTAGATTTTGCATGGGGTCAGGGAATGCTCAAGTCAGGGGTCAGACCTGTGTGGAAGCTTATCAGGAACTGTTTGGAGGATCAGAGGTGCTGCAGGGCAGTAGAGGAGGGACAGACTGCCCTGGAAATGCTGAAAGAGGAGTGCTCAGTTAAGTCGAGCAGGAAGGAGGATTCTGACACAGACTGGTAAGATATTGATGAGGAGCTTCAAGCTCTGATTGAAAAGGTAGAGTTAAGGAAAGATAATTTAAATACCTGAAATGATTTTCAGAAATTGTTAGGGGATATTAATTGGGTCAGGTGTTATTTAAGGTTACCAAATTATGAATTGAAACTGTTATATAATATTTTGGTAGGAGATTCGGCCTTGGATTCCCCTAGGAAATTAACAGAGGATGCAAAAAATGCCTTGCAGAAAGTTGAAGAAAGATTGCAGAGTGCCTTTTTGAAAAGATGGGATGAAAGTCAATCCATTAGGTTATGTATTTTTCCCACTTATAGTCAGCCCACAAGACCCTTGTGGTAGGATGGTCCATTGTTATGGATCTATCCTAGGGTGTCTCCAGGTAAATCCATTGAGCACTATCCTTCTGCTGTGGCTATATTAGCCCTAACTGGCATTCAGCAGTGCTTGCACTTCTTTGGAGTAGCTCCAGGAACCATTGTGGTACCCTATTCTAGTCAGCAAGTTAGGGTTTTGTGCGGCACGATTGATGATTGGGCTATTCTCCAATGTAGATTTAATGGGTTAATTGATAATCATTATCCTAAACATCCCCTAGTCTCCTTTTTTAAAGAACATTCCGTGATTTTTCCAAAGGTTACCTCTGCTGTTCCTTTGAAGGAAGCACCCAGTGTGTTTACTGATGGTTCTAAAACAGGCTGTGGAGCCTATATGGTAGGTGAGAAAGAGCCAGTGTTGTATCGGTTTCAACCTGGTTCCCCTCAAATTGTTGAATTGAAAATTGTTATTGAAGTGTTTAAAAACTGTCAATTTGCCTTCAATTTGATTTCAGATTCCGTTTATGTGGTTAATGCAGTTAAAATATTAGAAATAGCAGGCCCCTTAAAGATTAGTAGTACCGTATGTGCCTTGTTGAAAGAATTATAAAACTTGATTTGGCAAAGAAAAGAATGGTTTTATGTCCAACATATTCATGCACATACGGGTTTGCCTGGGCCGTTAAGTAAAGGAAATGATGTGGTTGATCAATGCACTCGTAAGGAATTTCTTTTCCTGAGTTCATCCTTGGAGCAAACAAGACAGTTTCATCAAATTTTTCATGTTAATGCTAAGACGCTGCAAATGAAATTCCACCTCTCTAGAGCAGATGCTCAACAGGTGGTTTTGGATTGTCCACAATGTGTTGTGCATCATCATCCCCCTAGTGTGGGAGTAAATCCCCGGGGATTGTTGCCACTTAAGATCTGGCAAATGGATGTTACCTATATTTCAGAATTTGGAACACTTAAATATGTTCAAGTGTCAGTAGATACCTACTCAGGCATAATCCATGCTGCGCCCTTAAGTGGTGAGAAGGCACGTAATGTCATCGCCCATTGCCTGGAAGCATGGGCCTCCTGGGGAAAACCCCAGCAGTTAAAACCAGATAATGGACCAGCCTACACAGCTCAGACTTTTGCCTTATTTTGTAAACAAATGGAGGTACAGCTTTCCCATGGATTACCTTATAATCAGGGACAAGGAATTGTGGAGCGAGCTCATCGCACCTTAAAAGAATGTTTACAAAAACAAAAGGGGGGAATAGGCCAAGGCTGTACCCCTAAAGAGAGGTTATCTCTTGCCCTTTTTACCCTTAATTTTTAAAATTTGGATGTTCATGGCCGCTCGGCAGCAGACAGACATCAAGACTTACATGGTCCATCTAAGGGCATGGTGAAATGGAGGGATATCCTGACGGGCTCCTGGCGAGGGCCTGATCCCGTGCTGACATGGGCACGAGGTTCTGTTTGTGTTTTTCCTCAGGATCAGCAAGATCCAGTGTGAGTGCCCGAGTGCCTGGTGCGGAAGGTTTGCCATGAAGACCCTCCTGAGGCTCGTGATGATGATGGTGACAGTGACACCAGGGTTAGAGACTGAGGGAGCCGGAGGCATCTAGAGAACCCCTGCTTCGTGACATCCTCCTCTTGACTAAGTGGGCGGGTTTGGGTTTCTTGGCCATACTCATGGTATTAGCCTCCCTTGTCTGCCTGTGGATTATCTGTAAGATCAGAGCTACACAGAGCCAGAACGCAGCCATGATTGTTCAAGCCTTTGCAGCCTTTGAGGCCGGACAGTCCCCCCAAGCTTGGCTGGCAGCCATCAAGCCTTGAGTCGTTACGTTCAGGTTGTGAGGCTAGGCACTGCACTTGAGGTATACTGTCAGCTGCTCGCAGCCTCAAGGAGAGCAAGTCTGATAGATGCGGGTTAGTACCGTCCTTTTCCCCAATTTATGCAACTTCTCCCGCCTCAGAAAAAATCGGTACTGGGTGGGTCTGGCATTGCCTGGGTAGAGATACCTTGGAAGGGCTAGTACAATGTCCTTTTCTCTCCTTCTGAGATCAGACCTCTACTCTCACCTGTTTCGTACAAAAACAAAAAGGGGGAACTGTGGAGAGCTGCATAGTGCTGCGCCCTTAAGATGGCGCCGGTCTTTGCCTTCTGCCACCTGTTGGCGAGTGCTCTTAAGAGTAAACAAGTCCTTATTTGGCTGTGGCTGGTGATCTGGCTTGTCTCCATGTGTGTGGACCTATCTGCTGTTGCCATGTGGCAGACGGGGGTAGGCTAGTCCTAGAGTACTTAAGCCTGGGAGGTGCTTCCCCCAGGGTCAGAAGATTGTTCAAGATTCCTGAGTAAACTGCTTGGAGAAGAGCTCATGTGTTGCATCTTCCTTGCTGGACAAGGGTCGGCGCGACACATGTTCAAGCCTTTTTAAGGCTAGATAACATTGTGATGGCATTGCTTCATTGTAGAGCACTTGTCTAGCATATTTAGAGCCTTAAGTTCAACCTGAAGCACAAACACAACAGAACACAACACAAAACAAAACCAAATAAGGAAGTAATAGATTAGATGTCTTCCCTGAGATCTCACTAGAAAGTAGTACCACTATTCTAGAACTCTTGAATGAAGAGATGTTATTGTAAACTCACCCTTCAATACAAGTAAAATTAATATAGGCTCCAAATTCAGTGCCTGTGTATACATGTACCAAGCCGTTCAGAGGATCTGGAAGAGTTCTACATCTTTTACCTATGAGAAAGAAGCAGAATTTTAGAATCAAGTATAGTAAACTGAACTTTCTGTAGTTTATGAATTTCTAACCTGATAAGAACTTACTGTAAAATATATATAATTGTAATACTTCAAAGGTTTTGCCACTTTGAGAAAATTCATCAGACACTAGTTTCCAAAAGAACTCTCATCCAAGTCTTTTCTTATATTCACACAGTGACTCCCTAAACATGTATACTTCTTTTATTACCGAAGCATTCTTCTATGTATTCCAACTCACAGGCCTCAAAGTCTGACATTTTTTCACCTCTTTGTTATTAATACCCTTTGCTTCAGAATCATTAATTACTTAATGACACTTGTGCAAAGTTAGCCACCCTAAGTGAAACATCCTGAGGATATTTTCTCTTAATCATGCCCTGTGACAGTCATTCTTATTAAATTTATTAACATTTGAAAAGACAGAATCCCAGAGTAAAGAGATTTGACTGACAAGAATGATCCACATGTCCTATATACCTTAGATAAGATTATTAATGGTGTGTCATAATCTAAACTCCAGACAAACTGAGGCAGACTCTACTCTTTGTCACAAAGGAGCTGCTTCTGCAGTTACTCACGTATACACTTATCTTCAGCACTTGTCCAGGTTGAGTCTTGTTGGCAGGTGATGGAGAACTTCCTCCCTGCAAATCCTGGGCGACATTCATACCTCAAAGCTGTTCCAATGGGAAACACGGATTCATCAGTTGGATTCATAGGTTTGGCAAAAGATAACGGTGATGGGGCAGGGCACTGACCTGGAGAAGAAGACACATCAACACTGCATTGGATGGAAGGACTTGCCTCCTCCCTCACCACTTTCAGTTCTCCAGCTAGCTATTAGGGACCATGATCCTCCTCTCTGGCATTCAGGAATGGATCAGTACTATGGTCAAGGGGGAAAAAATAATAAAATTCAAAAAATGAAACTGCCTTTCATTTTGTTAATGTATTTTCCAATACATGTTTTGATGTATCTTCTAGACTCCGTTATTTTCCTTTAAGGCTTAGTAGCATTTATTTAATTGGCAGATAGAGTCAAATAATATGTAACCAATAATTATCTGTTGGAAAAAAATCATCTCTATTTGATTTTGGAAATACTACATTTTCGTTATGACTTCTTTTCCTCCTAATACTTTCACTTAATACTCTTCTTACTCTACTAGATGCTAAAAGTGTCATATTTAAATATTCCACTTTATTATACAGTTGCCTATTTCTGTTCATTAAGCCTACTTTTTATTTTATATATATTCAATCAATAGAACAACCAAATTTAAATTGTTATATTTCATAAAAGGTTAACCTTTATCATATCCCGAATTTTCACAGTAAAATGGGCACTATATTTTGCTCTTAACCATTACTAAAATTTCATATGTAAATTGTACAGTCCTTTCAACTTGCAAAGATTTCATTGCACCTAGAGGCTTCCAAGCTTTTCACATTTTATCCTGGAGTGGGAGTGGGAAGACCTTCCTTAAAGCTGGGACTCAAGGGACTTTTTGAGGACTTGGAGTGGAAGATAAAGTACACATTGCCAAGACAAAACAGTTGTCAAGTGAAACCTGTATCCCTGGACCTGCTTGTCTGGGCCTTTGGAGCAAATGCATAGGTAATGTCTCCACGATAGAAATAAATTAAGGAGTGAGAACTGGGTTAGACACTTGACAACAGCATTTAAATAGCAAAACATCGAAAGATATCACTATCTCCATTTCACAGATAAGAAAACCCAAAAACATAGTAACTATACTCACAAAACCAAATTCTAGGATTAGAAATTGCATCTCTCATATTAGACTTAGGCGCACAGCTTGGAGCAGACAACACCAGACCAAACAGTTCCAAAGGGGAGGAGGTTTATTCAGGACAGAGGGCAAAGATAGGGAGAGAAACATTGAGAAGATGGTGGAGAAAGAGGAGAGAGAGAGGAGAGAAATGGAGGCTGGCCATGACCACATGGAGAGAGGGGGAAGGGAAGGGAGGAAGGGCGAGGGGACAGAGAGAAGGTAGAGGCAAGAGAGTAAGAGAGTAAGAGAGAGAGGAGGAGGCAAGCAGCCCCTTTTATAGTGGGCACACCTACCTGGCTGTTGCCAGGTAACTGTGGGGAGGAGCATACTTGGGTGTTACCAGATAACTGTGGAGGTGGAGTTTAGACAGAATACTAACATTCCCCCGTTTTGCTTTAATTAAAAGAGAAAAATTAGAAAGAGGTGACGGCGAAGCACGAATAGCATCATCGTGATATCTGGATACTTCCTGCTGGCATTGGGAGCAAAGTGTCTTTAGGGGGAATCTAGAAGAATGGGTGTGGAGGATGTTTGTCTGGTCTTTGGAGACTTGGCTGTTTCCTGCTGTCCAGGGTCTATGGAGTGAGCCATCTGAGAATAGGTCAGAAGGAACAGGTCCAGTAGAAGCAGCTGTGTGTGTGACAGGAGATGGAGCATTTGGAGGTTGTTTCTCTGGAGCTCTTTTGGATGTGCCTGGACTTGACAAGACCTGGATGGCGTCTATTTGGTCCATGAGAGCTAGATCTGAGTGGGTTTCCTGTAGCTTATAAGTTTACAAAAGAGATAACAGCATGAGTTAACAACACGAGCAGGCTTTAAGATGAACCTTTGTTAGATCGTATAGTGAAATGTTTTATTATTTAGGCCAGTTTATAGGAACTCAGATAATATTAGGACAGTGGGATAGTTAGAAAAGGAAATATGAAGCATTTAATTGATGGAAACTGAGTTTAGGCAATGAGGTAACAGATAGTATCTGTGGAATCTTAGCTGTCAATATAGTCAGAAGTCTGAGAAACAATAAACAATAATCTACCAGTTACATATTTTTTTTAAAAAGTGACAGAGTCCACTTTCCAATAGTTCCCATAGTCTCCATATCTCTCGGGCGAAGTCAATTTGGCTTCCAAGTGTAGAAGACGCGGGGCTTTTTCTCTGTGGAATGGATATGTATGCCATGAGAAAAGACTTACCTTGGTTTAGCCAAGTCATTTGATTCAGAGCATCCAGTTTAGCCCACTGTGTTTGTTAGTGACTATATCATCACATAAAATCTAGGCTGTATCTTCTAGGTATCTGGTATCCAAGTCTTCTGAAACCATCTTGGGGTAACTGTTAGAGGCTTTGGGAATTCTGTTGGCCATAAGCTTAAAAAATACTATCAGCAGACTTCTGACAAGATTGAGAGCCATAAGGATTGGTTGTAACTGAATAGAATTTAATAGCAGTATTAAAAATCTATCAAGACAGAGCCTTTACTATCCTGTCTTAAGTAACTTTGGCAGGTTGTGTAGGTAGAGAAAAGCACATTTTTGTATTAGCAAAGAAACATTTGGCTAGGACCAGAATAAGAATGCTGGATCTTATGGTTGGTGGGAGGTTGGGCATCAGCGGCAGCAGGGCGGGACTTCCTGCTAGCTCCGGAAGTCGCTGCCCAGTGTCTCTGGCGGCTAGAGGTTGTAGTGGGCACGGAAAAGCAAGCATGTCCCATATCACAGCAACGTTCATGTTAGTTGTTTTTGTAGCGGAAGGCACCACTAGCACTCGCTTTACAGTTCCCGGGCAAAGAGGGAGAGGGAACATCTAGGTGAAAGACCAGGTGTTAGGACTGGATGTCCATATGTGAGTTCAAAAGCTGAAATTAGGAGAGGTCGCTTGGGAAGGGCTCATAGCTTGAAAAGAGCCAGAGGTAGGAGTTTTACCCAGTCAAGGTGAAGTTCCTGTGACACCTGGACAAGAGTGGTTTTTTGGTGGTTCTTTCTGTCTTACCTGAAGACTGAGGATGATAGGGGATATTAAAATGCCAGGGGATATCAAGGGCATTAGATAGAGTCTGAGAAACTTGGGAAGTAAATTCCGGCCCATTGTCTGACTGGAGGGAGGCGGGGACACCAAAACGGGGGGATGATCTCTCTGAGGAGGAGATCAGAGACTGTCTGAGCCCTTTGGTTAGTTGTGGGAAAAGCCTCTACCCAGCCTGAGAAGGTGTTCACCAAGACCAGGAGGTACTTGACACATTTTACAGCAGACATGTGCATAAAGTCAAGTTGCCAGTCAGTTCCAGGAAGGGAACCTCTAGCCTGATGGGTAGAAAAAGGGGTGCTACGATACCTTGAGTTGGGATCTGACATCTGACAGATTTTGCAAGAAGCAGTGATCGATTTTAAGAAACTTAAGTTCTCAGGAGTAGGCTGTAGGTGGGTCTTAATGAAATAAGACAGCACTTGGCTGTTAGGATGAAAGAGTTGGTGATATGAGCAGGAAGGGCCTGTACCTCCACCACCTTGGCGTCTGACACTATGGCATAGCCAGCTTTCCTGACCCCTTCATGAAGAAAGGAGCTTCCATCTGTATACCAGGTAAAGGTGGCTTGAGGCAATGTGCCCTCCTGTATGTGTGAAGGATGAGGTAATAGTTCTTCTAAGGTTTCAGTACAGGAGTGAGATAGAGAGTAGTCAGTGTTAGGTCGGGAAAGAAGATTGGAAATATTAAGAGGTGGGCATGATTGAAAGGTGGGTGTGGAGGCTTCTATTAGGGCTACCTGAAGAGAAAGAACCCTGCAGGGAGGTAGAGTCTGTAAGCCTTTATAAGTTAGGAGCTGTGACAGGTTGTGAGAAGAAAGGACAGTTATAGGTGATCTCAGGGTTAGTTTCTTTGATTCTCGAATAAGGAGTTCAGCAGCTGCTTAGGTACAAATACAAGGTGCCCATCCCTGGATGGTTGGATCTAGTCTCTTTGACAAGTATGTTATGGGTACAAAAGATGGTCCCAGTTGGTGACCTAAGGCTCCAAGGGCAAATCCCTATTTTTTAGTTACGTAGAGGGAAAAAGGACGAGTCAAGTCTGGGAGATGTAAGGCTGGGGCCTTAAGGAGAGCCTGTTGGAACCTTTGGAAGGGCTTAGTGACAGGTTTGAGAAGAGATTCGTGGGTGGGGCCTAATGTTGCTTCATATAAGGGTGGAGAAAATAGGGAAAAGGAAGGAACCCAAGAATGCAAAAAGCTAGCCATTCTTAGGAATGATAGAATCTCTTCCTTTGTAGGAGGAACAGTTAGAGACTGAATCAGGTTCTTTCTATCTAAGGTAATAGCCTTGTGAGTTGAGGTTATTTCTAGTCCCAAATAGGTGATTTGAGGAGTGGACAGTTGGACTTTAGAAGGTGAGATCCTGTAGCCCCGACTGGAAAGGAAATTTAGAAGAGCAGCTGTGTCAGCTTGGCTAATTTCTAGGGAGGGGCTACAGAGAAGAACATCATCTACATAAAGTACAATCTTAGATCTAGGGAGAGATAGAGAGATTAAGTCAGAAGCCAGGGCATGACTGAACAAAAGTGGGCTGTCCCAGAATTCCTGAGATAGAACAGTCCAGGTAAGTTGGGTAGAAAAGTGAGTGTCAGGATCTGTCCAGGTAAAGGCAAATATGTCCTGTGACTAGGTGTCTAGAGGGATAGAGAAAAATGCATCCTTGAGATCTAGGACTGAAAAATGAGAAGTCCCTGAGGGAATAGTAGAGAGAAGCATATAAGGGTTAGCTATGACAGGATGGAGGGGAACTATGGCAGAGTTAATGCACCTGAGATCTTGAACCAGGCGATAGGTCCCACTAGGTTTCTTAACTGTCAGTATAGGGGTGTTAAAAGGGGAAGAGGTAGGTCGAAGGAGGTTTTTCCTTAAGAGGTCAGCAATGATAGGCTTAAGTCCCCTGAGGCTCTGGAGAAAAAGAGGGTATTGGGCTTGGCAGATGTATCTGGTAGAGTCCAGTAACTGGATGACAACGAGAGAGTAATGTTTAGCAACAGAGGGGTTCAGGATGTCCCAAACTTGGGGGTCCACCTGAGAAGCTGGTAAGGGAAATAACATGTTAGCGTTAGTAGGTTGACTGGCTAAAAGAAGGAGCAGAGGAACTGCTGGTGAGCTTGGGCTTAAGAAAATTGGTGGAGCAAAGGAAATAGAAGCTCCCAATTTAGCTAAAATATCTCTTCCTAATAAGGGGACAGGACATGTCGGCACTACCAAAAAGGAATGAGTGAGAGGCACACCCCTAAAAATGCAACTAAGTGGGGGGGGAGTGAAAGACTTAAGGTGAGACAAGTGGACCCAATGAGGGAGTCCTTCAAGTTTAGCAGCTGTAAGGGTCACGAGGATTACCTTAAAAGGATCCTGCCATTTGGGAGAGAGGTGAGGGCCGATGATCTGGAGGGGAGAGAAGCACTTGGTCTCCAATGTTGACAAGCAGTGGACAGGAGACAGTGTGTGGTAGATGGCGGTCAGCAAAGTTCCATAAGAGAGAACGGAGGTGGCAAAGTAATGGGGTGAGTAGATTGTCTGGGAGGGGGGAACAGGCAGAACACATGGAAAGAGTATAACGAAGGTAGATAAATGCTCAAGCATAGGGGACTTGTTTCCATTTACCAGACTGCTGGCAGTATGTGTTAAGACCTCTTAAAATAGTCGGGTCTAGTGTGTCATTACGTGGCTACTTTAGTCCATTATCTAGAGGGTATCGAATCCAGACCTTATTGCAGAGGTGTATCAATTTGGAAGGCCTCAAATCAGGTGTTAATTTTAGAGATTTGAGGTTTTTCAGTAGACAACCCAGTGGGGTGTCTGTGGATACAGTCGAAGACAATGTGGTACCCATTGGGTGACGGCTGTTACCGAGCTATCAGTCGGCGTCCCTAAGGAAAAGCTGGCAACGAAAAATCAGGCTCAGGCTAGATAATCAGGTCATCTTGAGAATATCTAGGGGCCTCTGTGGAGCTAGTCCGGCAGAAAATAGCTCACCTGGTACCAAGATTTCCGGTGGAGCTTCAAGAGCTGGGGAGGGGCCAGGAGCTAATTCTGAGAGGGAAATCACCCAATGGCCAATGTCCTAGGTCGTAGTTCAGCTTGAGGCCAGTCATATGGATTGGGGCAATGAAAAGCCAACTTGTCAGCCCAGGGAAGGTTGGCCAGACCCTAATTGGGCGTCCAGGGTTCCTCCCGCCAATCGGAAACTCCTTACCAATTAAAACGCCAGTGTGTTTGCAGGCTTGTGCAGTCTGGTATCAGGAAAGGTGGAACTGTGAGGTCTGTGTAGACCTGTCTGGCTAGGTTGTGAGCCTCTCAGCTGTGGATGGGGTTGGTCTGCAGCAGCGGTGGGAATTCACACGGTTGGTGATGGTAGGTAGCAGCAGAAGAAGTCCTCCTGGTGTAGTGGTGGCAGCTGCAGCTGTGGGGTTGCGGTGGTGGAGTGGTGGCAGGCCACATGGCATCGGTCTTGTACAGTCACAGCAGCCTCATAGCGGCCGGCTGCGGCTACTGGTGGCCACATGGGTCTCTCAGTTCCTGAAGTCTTCATATCCTGGGTTTTGGCACTAGTGTTAGACTTTGGCGCACAGCTTGGAACAGACAACACCAGACCAAACGGTTCCAAAGGGGAGGAGGTTTATTCAGGGCAGAGGGCAAAGATAGGGAGAGAAAAGTTGAGAAGATGGTGGAGAGAGAGGAGAGAGAGAGGAGAGAGAGAGGAGAGAAGTGGAGACCAGCCATGACCACGTGGAGAGAGGGGGAAGGAAGGGAGAAAGGGCAAGGAGAAGCTAGAGGCAAGAGAGTAAGAGAGTAAGAGAGAGAAGAGGAGGCAAGCAGCACCTTTTATAGTAGGCAAACCTATCTGTCTGTTGCCAGGTAACTGTGGGGAGGAGCATACTTGGGTGTTGCCAGATAACTGTGGAGGTGGAGTTTAGACAGAATACTAACATCTCATATTTATGCGACCCCCTGCTCCCACACCCCCTTTCTCTCACTACAGTTGGCTCTACACTCAGCACAGACAAGTACAATGTACATCTAATAAAGGCAAGCCCGGGGGAGACCAAGCATTCCTGCCTGCTGAGAACAACACAAGATGTGGGCTGAGCGCGCTCCAGGCTCACTCATGGGAAAAGGGCGCTGGGTACCCACAGGGACCCCAGACCAGCATTAGAGTCTGTGCTGAGCCTATTTACCGCGGGTCTCAGGTGAACCGTGCATCTGTGCCTCTCCGTGCCTCCCCTCAGCTCACCCAAAGTAAATGGCAGCAAGAACAGCAGCAGGACGGCCAGCAGGACTCCTCTGAGGCACAAGGCTTCAAGGTGCCCCACGGCGTCCAGAGGCTCTGAACTCGGAGAAGTGGCCTCCATTGCCCTCCCCGGTCTCAAGCACAGTCTTCTGGCAAACCGGTGAAGAAAACAGCCGCACCCAGAGAGCGGGGAAATGGCGCTGGGTTCCGGAATAAAGCTTTCACTACAGCTTCCTCTGGTTGGGCTGGGCCGGGGTCTTGTTTACTTCAAGCTTCAAGGATTTCCCTGGAATTTATCCCTCAGGAGATTGAGTCAGCAAAGCAGACACTGGATCAATATCTGGGAAGTCAGCTCCAGGAAGTTCTCCCATTTGTAAGCACCTTCGACGCCAAAGAAAACAAGGCATTATGGGAACTCATTTGCATATAACCCAGCCTTACTCCTTTTTTTTAAAATCTGCAAGGGTGTAAATACTTTAGTTATTAACTGAAGTGGAAGAAAGCTTTCTCAACAAAATAAATAACATGTAAGAATAACCCATAGTTAATTTTATCAATAATGAAAGACTGAAAACTTTCTAAAATCAGGAACAGGACTGGATTCCTATGTTTGCTAACTATAGTCAATATTGTATTGAAATCTAACCAATGCAATCAGGTAAGAAAAACAAAGAAAATGATTACGAGTTAGAAAGGAATACATAAACAAATCTATGTTTGAAAATGCCATGATCTTGTGTTGTTGGAGTTGAATCCAGGCCTGAGCATGGTAGCCAATCACTGTACTACTTTGCTACAGCCCCAGGCATGACAGGTGTTTCTGTGTAGACAGTCTTCCACAAGACTAATGAGCTCAGTAAAGTTGCAGAATACGAAGCCAACACACCAAGAACAATGACTACTTTGAAAAGGAAATGATGACAACTATATTTGAAATAGCATTTAAAAAGGAAAAATCTAAAAATAATCCCAAGGCAGTAAAAGTCTTACATGGTGAAATCTACAAACCTTTTCTACAAAAGATTAAAGAGATAAGTACATGGAAACTCATGGTTGTGATTTTCATACAAGCATCCCCCAAGAGCTCATGTATTGAAGACATGGTACTCAAATGATGGACCCAGTCATTGAAAAAATGGTGGCATTGTGTGGATAGAGTCCATCGCTAGATATGTAACTTAATGGCAGCATTAGTAAGTGGTAGTGACTAAGAAGTGGGCCCTGCTGGAGGATACAGGCACGCCTCTGAAGGCTACATGTGGTCTGTCTCTCTCTGATCTCTAGCTGTTAAAAGACAAGTAGACTCCTCTGCCACACACTCTCACTTCTGTGTTAGTGGAACCTCTGAAACAGTGGAAATATATCTTTTTTCCTTTTAAATTATTTCTCCCAGTGTTCTGTCATAACAATAACAACAAAACCAAATCCTGTGTTTGCTAGACAAAAAATATTTACTGATTTATTTAATACTTATAAAATTGTTTAACACTCAAAGCAGTTTACAGAGTCAATATAACCCCTACTAAAATTGTGATGGTGCTTTCTTTCTGCAGAAGTAGAAAAATCTATTCTAAATCAATATAAAATTTGAAGAACACAAATGAGAGAATTCATACTTCTTGGTTTCAAAATGTACTAAGATATATTAATTAAAACAGTATAGTATTGAGATAAAGATAGACATTACAGAACTATGGAATGGAATAGAACTCAAAAATAAACATATACACATTTAAGGTGATATTAAACAAGGATGCACTAGAACAGTCACTGGGAAAGGGAAGTCTCTTCAGCAGTGTGTGTTCGGAAATTGGATATTTTCAGCTAAAAGAATGAGGCTAAAGTTTTAAAATAAAAAAAACTTAGATTGATCAAATTATTAACGAGAATATCAAAACTATAAAAATTTTAGAAGAAAAGATGGGGAAATGCTTTATGATTTTAGGTCTGACTGATCTCTTGAGTGTGACACAAAGAATAGGCAACTGTAAGAAGAAAGCAGATTAATTGAATTTCATCAAAATGAGAAGTTTTGTGTACTAAAGGACACCAATAGAGTGAAAAAGCAATGTACAGAATTAGAGGATATGTTGGTCAATTGCATATTTAATAAGCTATTTATAGAATATAAAAATAACTCTTAAAACTTACTGACAGCATACCAGAATGGGAAAGCCCAATGACTTGAATAGATATTTCTCAAAAGAAGATACATAGATGACCAACAAGCCCATGGTAAGATGCTCAATACTTCACTAATCTTAGGGAAATAGAAGCAAATCCTAACGATACTAACCACATGTACTAACTTGGCACTATGGCTTGAATATTTGTTTTCTTCAGAACTCATGCAGAAACTCCTGCCAACATGAGGGTACTGGGAGGATGAGATCACACATGTGCCATTGTCTAGGGTCTGGGTTCACTATGGCACAAGGAATTCTGCCATGTTGCACAGACTTTTCCCTACCACTCATTTCCCTTCTGTCATGTTATGCTGTAGCGAGAAGAGCTTTTTCCAAAGAGCAGGATTTTGACATTATAGATCTCCCTGAATCCAGAACCATGAGAAGGCAGTTTCTGTCCATCAGAAACCATCTGTGGTATTCTGTTATAGTGACACAAAACAAACAGATGGCTCCTGTTACAAAAAAAAAAAAAGAAAGAAAAAGAAAAACAAAATAAACTGAAACGAAAGACCTGCACAACTAACAGAGAAGACGTCGGGAATCTGGAGCTTTTGTTCACTGCCAGTGAGAGTACAGATTATGTAGCTGCTGTGGAAGACTGGACAACATTTCTTCAAAAAATGAAATTGCATCACCTTATTACCTGGGAGTTCTTCTCCTGGATGTACACTAGAAGAATTGAAAGTGGAAACTTTGAACAGGTGTGTAACTCCATGTTCAAAACAACATTGTACGGAATAGCTAGGAGGTGAACATAACCAACCTTAGTTTATCAACAGATGAACAAATAAGAAAAGTGTGGCAATATGCATACATAGTGGAGTATTATTCAGGCATGGAAGAGAGTTCTAACACCAGATGAAAGTTACGTGGATTGCAAAATATTTTTCAAGGGATATAGCTATATGAAGTAAGCAATACAAAAAGGGACCAATGCTGTATGATACAGCTGTATGAGGTACTCAGAACAGACAGCAGTGTATGGGGAAACAAGGCTGTAGGAGGTACTTAGAACAGACAGCAGTGTAAGGGGAAACAAGGAGAGCGGTGTTCAGGCAGGTG